GTGTGTGTGTGAGTGTGTGAGTGAGTGAATGAGACTGTGACTGTGTGTGTGTGTGTGTGTGTTCAGTGACTGTGACTGTGTGTGTGTCAGATGTGGCACTGCTGGCTGGTGATAAAAGCTTTAGCACTAAAGGCTGGAACACAACAGATATCACACCAGTCACTCATCACACACTAACAGACATTCACGACGAACACACGCAGAACCCAACATCTGCAGCCTGATTTCTCCAGCTAGCACTGACTCGTCCGGACTGTAAGTCAGTCCTGTATTCCAGCAGTAAGTGCTAGAGTTAGGGATGGGCATATCGATCCTAAATATCGATATATCGATACTGACGCGAGTATCGAAAGTATCGATACTCAAACTAAAAATATCGATACTAAGGTGTGTTTTATTTACCAGTGATTTCGTTTATTTAAAATAATAATAATAATGCGTACAAATGCATTGAATTGAACAAATAACCTTTGTTCGCAAGTAATTGTGTAGGATAGAATTATTTTCCTGCTCATCTGAACACACGCAAATGTTGCAAGACAGAACTAATCAATCAAAGAGAGCGTTCACTCACTGCTGACAGCGCATTCAAACAGGGCTGCGTTTCCCAAAAGTATCATAAGAAAGCATTAAAGCTTTTGGGAACAACAGCCCTGAACAATGCTTATCAGAGGACAGAAAAAAACATATGTTTGAGTTATTTCACAATAAACAAATTGAAATCGTAGCCTACATAGTTTGTACAATTACATTTATTTAAATTGAACGTTGAAAGATAATATAGGTCATGTTCTATTCAGTAATGTTAATAGAAATCATACACTGTCAGAACAAAAAGGTTGCATTTTATGGATGCAACAGCCGGTCACTGGCAGTCCCTTATGATAATGAACCATGGTTTTACTAAAATGACCATAGTTCAACTGTAGTATTTGTAGATTTGAATCATGTGTAAACAAAAACACATTTGAACCATGTGCAAACAAAAATATAACCTAATAAATTACAATTAAGGCGTATTGAATGTTAAAATGTGTTTTAAACAAAGTTAAGTGGTTATCATTACCCATTTTACTCTTAGTAATTTAATAATTTAATACATTTCATCATTTAAAAGTTTAGTTCAGAAGTATCGTATCGGTATCGACGATACTGCCTTGAAAAATATCGGTATCGTATCGAAAACAAAATAAGTGGTATCGCCCATCCCTAGCTAGAGTCAGTGTGTGTTTGTGCTCCAATCGTGAATCATTCCTCCGATCATGTGCATTATTGAGCTGCTTCACTGAGCGATGCTCTCGGTCACGGTTTGTGGACTAAATGAACTCCAGCGAGAGCCGGTCACACATCATGCGGTTTGATAAGATGCAGAAACCCATGCGCTGCTCACACCTGTGCGAGGGATTAATATATCCGTCACGCGCAGCGAGATTCACCAGAGCTCACGACAGCATCAGAACACAACCATCAGAGACAGATAGAGCTGTGTCTGCGCCGCTCGAGTACCCAGGATGCACCTGGAGCAGCAGAGGGAGGATGTCAGGGACAGCTGTTTCCTGTCCACACTTCCTGTTGGAGCGCTGGAGGCTTGATGTCGAGCGCTTTGGCGAGAGCGGCGGTCATCTTCCAAACAGAATATGTGCACCGCGGTGAGAGGTGTGAGCGCACGAATGCTCGTTATTCATAACTCATTTCTTAATGCGCTTCCGATTGACAGGCCGGGGCCAAACTCACTCCAGCATCGCTCAGAAGGACAGGAGATCAGAACCACAACACACACTCTCAGTCTCAGCCAATGATTTACAGTGCTCAAATCATGAGGAATAGGACTGTTCCTGATCGTCTGAGATCACTGCAAAAATAGATTTTCTTAGTATTTTTGTCTTGTTTTCTAATATAAATATCTAAACATTCTTGAATCATGAAGCATTTACTTGACAAGAAAAATGTTTGCAGTGTTGATTCATTAATCTGTGAAACTGCAAGTGTTAGAGATAACGTTCTCAGTTCATAACGAGCATTGAACAGTAAATATGACTTCTGCAACTTTCTGATGTCATGCATGTAAACATAAAGGTTTGTTTCTGACATGTCAGTATAAACCCAAGGCGACTGACGTTCATAAGTGAGAGAACATTACAGCCCTGATTTATTTATTTAAAAAATGTATTTAGTCACCACTTGTAAGTGCACTTGAGTGTACTAGTGTATGAAAGATGGGTTCAAGTGTACTGCAAGTGGTGACTAAATACATTTTTTAAATACATAGTATGTTAAAAGCACATTTTACTTCACATTCATGGTGTCCCAAAATAGCACAGTTGAGTACACTTAGATGATCTTAAGTTTCTTAAGTACTAAAGAATATTTTTTAGTATATTAAGGACAAAATTAGCACTTTAAGTACATTATGGACGTGCACTTTTTTTCACCTGTGATTATAAACGTAAAATAGCAGATTTTTGCTTACGTCAAAATCAAAATCAGTCTTATTTCCTTGGGAATCATTCATGTTTGAAGCACAAATGCTGCAGTTTAACACTTAATAATATAGATTTGAGTGTGATGAGTGTGAGCACTAGTACTAGTAATGAGTGAGCTGACCAGCACTAACTAGTGTGAGTGTGTGTGTGGGTGAGCGAGTCAGTGTGTGAGTGAGTGTGTGTGTGTGTGTGAGTCTGTGTGAGAGAGTGTGTGTGTGTGTGTGTGAGTGAGAGCGTGTGTGTGTGTGTGTGTGAGTGAGAGCGTGTGTGTGTGTGTGTGTGAGTGAGAGCGTGTGTGTGTGTGTGTGTGAGTGAGAGCGTGTGTGTGTGTGTGTGTGAGTGAGAGCGTGTGTGTGTGTGTGTGTGAGTGAGAGCGTGTGTGTGTGTGTGTGTGAGTGAGAGCGTGTGTGTGTGTGTGTGTGAGTGAGAGCGTGTGTGTGTGTGTGTGTGAGTGAGAGCGTGTGTGTGTGTGTGTGTGAGTGAGAGCGTGTGTGTGTGTGTGTGTGAGTGAGAGCGTGTGTGTGTGTGTGTGTGAGTGAGAGCGTGTGTGTGTGTGTGTGTGAGTGAGAGCGTGTGTGTGTGTGTGTGTGAGTGAGAGCGTGTGTGTGTGTGTGTGTGAGTGAGTGAGTGAGTGTGTGTGTGTGTGTGTGTGAGCGTGTGTGTGAGTGAGTGAGTGTGTGTGTGTGTGTGCGTGCGTGTGCGAGAGTGAATGAGTGAGAGCGTGTGTGTGTGTGTGTGTGAGTGAGCGTGTGTGTGAGTGAGTAAGTGTGTGTGCGTGTCTGTGTGAGAGAGTGTGTGTGAGTGAGTGTGTGTGTGCGTGTCTGTGTGAAAGAGTGTGTGTGTGAGTGAGGGAGTGAGTGTGTGTGTGCGTGTCTGTGTGAAAGAGTGTGTGTGTGAGTGAGGGAGTGAGTGTGTGTGTGCGTGTCTGTGTGAAAGAGTGTGTGTGTGAGTGAGTGAGTGAGTGTGTGTGTGCGTGTCTGTGTGAGAGCGTGTGTGTGTGTGTGCGTGTGCGAGAGTGAATGAGTGAGAGCGTGAGTGTGTGTGTGTGTGTGTGAGCGTGTGCATGAGAGAGTGTGTGCATGTTTATGTGGTTTATGAGGACACAAATTTGTATAATAACATGGGTATGACAGGTATTACAATGAGAAGGTGATTTATGAGGACATTTTCAGTGTCCCCGTAATTCAAAAGGCTTATAAATTTTCGGAGTTTAGTTCTACTCTGGAATATTTCAAACGCTGCTCTTATAACTCACAATGTAACAGATCGCAGCGCGTCCTCTCAGCAGTCGCTACACAGTAACAGTCCCGCTCCTGTTCCTCACACACCAGCAGCAGCAGCTCGAGCCGAGGATGAGGAGTTTGTGTTTGTGTGATTCTGAAGAGATGGGAATAAACTCACTGAGACGCTGAGACGCAATCCTCCTCCTGTCACGTGAGCTCACCTGTGACACAAAGCCTGCGTCCCAATGTGCAAAACTCTGTGATATATTAGCAATTTTCAATACTATTTAGGGCAGACGGTGGATAGTTTGCACATTGGGACGCAGGGTAAAATTCTCTAAATTAAATGAGTGGATATTGGATTCATTTATTGTAATGAATTAATGATTTACTCCAAACACACGGATTATGACGCACTACTGTTTATTTCATACATCAGAATCAAGCATGACATTTTTATTACTGAACAAACTTCACAGATTTGTGGTTTCTACAGACCGATGAATAATTTGTGCGCGTGATGACGAGTAGAGAAAGGAGAAATGTGTGTTTGACAGGTTTGTGTGGTTATTAGTAATGAAATGAAGTGCAGAACGGCAGCTACTGACCGTCTTTTACTGTAAACCACATCAATCTGCAGAGAATCGACATTCATCAGAGCAGATGTGCAGCGCTACTCTTTCTCCAGAGTCTGAACAAGGTAACATTTATAAAAGCCTGAAATTATTTGTACTGTGGAATGTTTGTTTTTGGAGAATCTCATGAAACGTGGAGATCACGTCCAGCTGATAGATACTTCACCACAAAACCAACAAAGAAGTAAGAAGTCAAACGGTGTATGAAGAAAATGAAGCCCGTTTACGCATCACTCACATTCTTTAATTTTTCCTTTCATCAATAAGATATGGTACTGCAGTAATATTTTGCTGCAGTACAGCAAGTCATCGAGGATAATGGGAATTACAAAACTATGAATGAATTACAACATCTGCATTACAGTCATGGGAAACCATGAGCACCGTCATAAAACCTGATGCGGAAAATCTTGACGGTCCTAAAAAAAGGCTTAATTTTATTCATACAAAAGAAAAGAGCCAGAGAGAAGCAGGTGTTGGATTGTACACTATCTCTGATGTTGTGGTTATATGGCGGATAATGAAGTGGCACGCCGCAGTCCTTCGTGAGGAAATACCTGCGCACCGAATTCAGCCGGAGCTCCAGAGTTCACCGGATGAGAAGCTCAGAGATGCTCGAGCCTTTAACCAGAGGCTTGCCTAGCGTCGGTGTCCCACAGTGCTTTGCGATCCGTCACGAACCCTCAGTGCGGTTTGGGCACGTGGCCGTCCACGTAGAAGTTCCTGGTGACCTTGGGCAGCGTCAGCTCTATGCCGTCCAGCTCCGGCGTCAGGATGATCTGGCAGCCCAGACGAGAGTTCTCCTGCAGCATCGGAGCCATGTCCAGCATATCGTCCTCCCTGCGCACACACACACACACACACACAAACTCCTCAGCTCTCAGACTGCTCACTCTTCAGATCAACAGGTCACCTGTGAGATTCGCTTAGACCCCATGAGGGGGGGGTGCATGAACGGTTTAGACTAGTCTTAAAAAGTTAGTCATCTATTATTTATTCTTGAAGACTGGCCATAACTTTTTTAATGCCGTTATGAAAAGGTAGGTTGGTCTTGTTAGTACTGGAAGAGTAAGACAGCGGCTGGTTACTCAAACTAGTTCTTCAGACAGTCTTAACATGGTGGCTACGTTTATCCAACTAGTTATTTCAATACGTTTTGTAGAGTATTTTCTGGTAACACTTTATAATAACGTTCAGTTGTAAGTCATTTATAAGCGATTAGTTAATGATGAACTAATCATTTACAAAACATGACTTTACCTTCACAAATGATTAAGTAATATGCTAACGATTTACAAATCTGTCGAAAGTTATCTTAAAAAAAAAATAGCACATCATGAAATAATCAAACAGATCCTTAGTAGATGGTTAATAAGTTACTCACAGCATTATACTCCATGTGTGTCAGAGAAGACATCTGACTTACAACTGAATGCTATTATAAAGTGTTACAGTAATATTTTATGTATTTAAGGTCAGAGATGTGTGAACGCTGAAGAGAGAGAGCAAGAGAGAGAGAGAGAGAGAGAGAGAG